ACCCCAGTTTGGTGTAGTGGTTAAGTGCGCGGACTCTAATCTGGGAGAACTGGCTTTGATTCCCCACTCCTCTACTTGCAGCTGCTGGATGACCTTGGGCAAGCCGTAGTTCTGTCAGTAGAAAACACCATCAAAGATTGCCAAAACAATATTAAACCTATGATTCGCTTCTTACACTATGAACCTTGTAGTCTGTTGAAATTGCTGAAATCGGGTTCCACTTACACAGCCGGCAAACTGAAGAAGTTGAAGGAAATGCCTCTTAAATATCTGGAATGGGCGTCTTGGTGAAGGCTGTTTGGAAAATGTTTTGACTATGTGGGTTCCTCTTGTCAAGTTGAACTGATTATGTGGACTTTACATCTTATCTTCCTAAGGAGGAAACGTATTTTAGTTATAGCATGCGCTTCATTTTGTTGTTGTGACACCACCAACTTTATATTTCTTAAATACAGATAATATTTTGGCCATTTCTGATGGTGTTTTCTCCTAGCGGATTGTGTGTATCTGTTTGTCTAGGCAGAAACCAACCAACCAACCCCAGTTTGGTGTCGTAGTTAAGTGCGCGGACTCTAATCTGGGAGAACTGGCTTTGATTCCCCACTCCTCTACTTGCAGCTGCTGCCCTGAAAGGGCATTTTCTGTCAGAGCTCTCTCAGCCCCACCTGCCTCACAGGGTGTCTGTTGTGGGGAGGGGGAGGGAAAGGAGATTGTCAGCCGCTCTGAGACTGAGTGAAAGGCAGGCTATAAATCCAATCTCCTCTCTCTCGTCAGGTGTGTGAAGGGAAATGGAGGCCGAAATACAGTCTCTCCCCCACAAAAATGCTGGGAAAACAAGCAAGTCTTTGGAAGCCGGCTGTGCGGATTTCTCGCCTGCCAGCTCCAGAAAGACGAAGTCACCAAGCGGATTGTCTCCGGGGAGAAAGGCAGTTGTGCCCGGCGGTGTGCTGCTTCTCTTCAGCATCGCTGAATTTCTTTGGCAGCAAGAGGCCACCTTGGAGAGCAGCGACAAGCAAGATGGAGACACAAGAGCAGTGAGATTGTATTGCAGGACTCGGTCGCGCTCTGCAGCGCGGCAGGGGGCCCTGCTTCCTAAAAGAGGAGACCAAAATAAAAATTGCATCCTGTGCGACTCCAGTGCGTTATCATCTCTGAGAAACGGCTGGGTGTGCGTTGAAGTGGCGAGAGAAGGAAAGGTCCCTGTGTCGCTGTTTCCTGGGTGGAAGGGAGTTAACTCCAGGACTGGTGTCCGGCTTGGTTATTCGGAATCTGCCCCCTCAGCTGGTTGCATATGTACCCCAGAGAGCACTGCATTCAGGGATCCAGAGCCGGCCGGTCCTCCCAGGTACGAAGGAGGCCAGGTTGGCGACGACCAGGGCCAGGTCTTTCTTGGCGGAGGCTCCACTCTGGTGGAACGAGCTCCCAGAGGAGATCAGGGCCCCACAGGAACTTTTACACTTCCGTAGGGCCTGTAAAACGGAGCTCTTCCGCCAAGCCTTTCCTTTGGAGCTGCCACCACGACCACCAGTTATTAAAACAGCAACTGACATCTTTTGGTGGAGAGCCCTAACCCACTGGACCCTCTACTCCGGCCCGGGCCCATCCCCCTTATGACGTATGACACCTGAGCAGAGCACTGTGGCTGATGCTATCAAACCGAGCACTTTACGATACATTTGGTTTTAACGTGATATTTTAATATTGTATTTTTATTCATTGTTGATGTGTTGTATGTGTTGTGGATTTTTATCGGCCTGTGAGCCAGACTCGGCCGGGATTAAAAATATGAATAAATAAATAATAAAATAAATAGATTTCCCGCAAGGACCTCCATGCGTGTGGCATGATTGACGTGCGAATGCCACGGGCTTCTTAAGGTGGGTTGGTGGCATAGCACATATCTAACAGGACTCACCTTCCTAGAACTCTGTGAGAACTCCCGCCTCAATATGGAATCCCAAATTCCAGCCTCATCTCAGATTAAAGCACTGAAACAAACCTTCAACATGATCAGCTCCATGGTTTAGGAAGGGAAAGGAGTTTTAACTCCCAGGCAGTGTTCCCTCTAAGCTGAGTCAGTGTGAGCTAGCTCCTGGGTTTTTTAGCCTCCGGCTCACACATTTTTGTCTCAGCTCAGGAAGGAGGGCTCCAAGAGCAAGCTAATTGATGCAGTAGCCAAATTGCTGGCTCACAACTTGAATGCCAGGAACTCACAAAGTAGAATTGTTGCTTAGAAGGGAGCATTGCTCACAGGTGTTGCCAGAGGCGCTGCCTCTTACTCTTGGGTAGCCCCAATAGCAGGGGCACCCCACTGATCCAGAGACCCACAAAATTCAGGCCAAGGAAGGCACCCCTGGTTCTGAAACACAGAGCTAGCCACAGCTCTGAAAAAGTGGTCTCCATTTTCAGGTGACAGGCAACCTCAGAGCAAGCCTCCAGTCTTCCCCCTCCACCCAGCAGAGATTATGCTTATGGAATAACAATGAGTTCTAGCAGGTAAAGTATCTACATTTCTAAAGTCTATTTAATTCTTTGTCTGAATACCTGTCTTTTCTACTCTGTCCCTCAAGATACCGGGATAAACCAATGAAGCATTCAATCCTTCCTGATGCTAATCAGGGACGTCTCCCACCTTTTGTTTACCCTGGCCAGGACCATTAGTGGTCAGATCATTCATTCAACTAGCCACCCAGCACCTGGCTTCTATTGTTAAATCCAGACCCTGCCTCTCTGGAAGCTCATTGGTCACATCTAGGCCTTGCCCATCCTGATGCCACACACCCCTGGGACTCATCATTGGTCCAGGAAATCTACTGTTGTCACCTGAGACCAGCCCCCAGGGCCGCCCATTGGTCTGCATTCTCTTCCAGTGGGTATATCCCAGTGTAAAAATGGCCTCAGCCCATGTGTTTTCTGCCATAATCCAAAATGGCAGTCCACCCCTAAACCCTCTGAGTTTAGGCAACAATCCATGGACCTCTGCACATCTGGACCAGGTTGTATAAAGGTAAAGGTGTCCCTTGCTCGAAAGCCAGTCGAGTCCTCCAGGGTTGCGGTGCTCGTCTCCGTTTCGAAGCCGAAGAGCCAGCGCTGTCCGAAGACGTTTCCGTGGTCATGTGGCCGGCATGACTAAACACCAAGGCGCACGGAACGCTGTTACCTTCCCACCGAAGTGGTACCTATTTATCTACTTGCAATTTCTTGCTTTCGAACTGCTGGGTTGGCAGGAGCTGGAACTAGACGGGAACTAGACGGGAGCTCACTCCATCTTGCGGCACCCGGGTCTCGAACTGCTGAACTACCGACCTTCCACAGCCTGCAGTTCAGCGTCTTAACCACTTGAGCCACCGTAGCTCCTAGGTTGTATAACCCCTCTATAAACTATCAATCACCTCTGCTTCCTTAGTTCTATAAATGTGTGTGTGTGTGTATTGTTTGAATGATATATGTATTCCCCAGTAAAAAGACATTATATTTTACTGAATATAGTCTCTGTGTCTGTTCTGGTGTTTACAGCAAAGGTGGGACTTCTGTATACATTGGTGAGAACCCTAATTTGCCTATTGCCAATTAATAATCATAACTTCACCTAGACTAACTAATAATTAAAGGCAATTTGGCTGACACAGGGCATTTATTTACTCCACTCCTCCGTGCACAGCCACCACTGAGAGGGTACGCACCCAGTGAGCTTCCATGGCACAAGAGATGATTCAAACCTGGATTTTGCTAGACCATGCTGGGTTGCAACTTAGTGGGGTGGAACATGTTTGGAAAGGGAAGCGTTTGTTTTGCTTTTGCGGGGCCTGCAGCACGTAAGAGAGGCATGTGTTATTTTTAAAAGTTTTTTCATTAAGAAGAACAGGGAAAGAAGCTATAGAGAGAGCCTGCAAGTTCTTCGCACACATAGTGCTGTTGGGAAAGGGCTGTGGATTTAGAGAAGAACAGCCTACATTGAAAACGGCAAAGGCGGGATGGCCATCTGACAGCAATGCTGGTTCTGTAAACTTAGGCAGATCATGAGAAGGAGGGCAGGAAGGGATGAAGAGATTGGATTCATACCCCGTCATTCACTCAGAGTCTCAGAGTGGCTTACAATCCCCTTCCCCTTAACTCTGTGAGGGAGGTGGGGCTGAGAGAGCTCTTTCGAGGACTGCTCCTGAGAGAACAGCTCTGAGAACTTGTGACTGACCTAAGGTCACACCAGCAGCTGCGTGTGGAGGAGTGGGGAATCAAACCTGGTTCTCCCAGTTTAGAGTCTGCACTCTTAACCACTACACCAAACTGGTTCTCATGGCCCTTATAGATTCCCCAGTTTAGGGTCAGGAAGGAATTTCCCCCCAGGCCAGATTGGCCCAGGGATCCTGGAGACTTTGCCTTCCTCTGGTTGTAGAGCAGAGGTTAGTGTGTGTGGGGGGGGAATTGTGTAGGGTGGCTGGACTAGATGGCCCGAGGGTCCCTTCCAGCCCTATGTTTCTAAGAAAAATCTACAACTGAGCGATAAAAAGGCCAGCGTAGAGAAAGAAGGCTGTGACTGCGGAGGACCTGGGCAGGCATTCTCCTTTCTTCCAAGAGCACCGCAAGGGAGGCTGAGATCGCCCCTGTGGCAACGGGACAAAACTCCCATCAACGGGGCACAAGGTCAGCCTTCACACCACCTCTCTCCAAAGCCAGCCGCAGAGCATCCTTTAATCCTCTGGTGGCCAAAAAAATGCCAGTTTCTGACTTTTCCCTTTCCCCCTCAAAGCAAACTAGGACATCAGGCAGGACAGGCCTAGCTACACCTTTCCCCCTTGCGGTGCTACTTTTCTACTTGCGGGGAGCCGCCGCCGCTCCTCCCTGCCATGCGAAGGAGTGCTGTCTCTTCTTTCCTGCACCCTGCTGCACTCGAGGATCCAGAGACCGCGCCTCAAGGAAACACTCACAAAACTGCTGGGATTTCATGGTGCAATGCTTAAGGAAAAGCCGCCTGTCTGAAATGGTTTTTCTCAGCTTAGGAAGGACAGCTTCAGAGCACACTGATTTAATGCAGCAGCCAAATGGCTCGCTCAGAACTTTAATGCCAGTAGCTCACAAAGTAGAATTTTTGCTCACAAGACTCCACAGCTTAGAGGGAACATTGCGTGGCAACTGCTGGGATTTCATGGTGCAACGCTTAAGGAAAAGCCGCCTGTCTGAAATGGGTTTGGTTTTCTCCAGTGTGTATTTAAAAAAAAAAGCTCTCTTTGTATTGCACGTCTTTCTACAAAGCACCACGCACACATAAACACAAACACCCAAAGCTTTTTTGCACTTTGGGAAGAAGCCACAGAAATGCCAGAGCTTTGGGAAGACATTAGAAAGAGGTTGTGTCGATCCACATTATTGTCGTTCCTGCTAGCGCTACGTCAAGAGATTGGTGCTAGTGCTACGTTGAGATTGGTGACAGACAATGTTCCCTCTAAGCTGTGGAGTCTTGTGAGCAAAAATTCTACTTTGTGAGCTTCTGGCATTAAAGTTGTGAGCGAGCAATTTGTCTACTGCATAAATCAGTTTGCTCTGGAGCCATCCTTCCTGAGCTAAGACAAAAACGTGTGAGCTGGAGGCTAAAAAACTGTGAGCTAGCTCACACTAACTCAGCTTAGAGGGAACGCTGGTGACAGACACCAACAGAGAGAGAGTTGAAACAGACATACAAAACTGCTGTTTACTCCTAGGAAAGCGCATTCTCTTTTATCTCTTACATCCCCCCTAGAGCGGCTTCCGGTTCTCTGGCGCCAAAGCCGTTCACGACCCGGAAGCGGCTCCTGGCTACTGGGGATGTCGGGAATTGTAGTTGTTCTCTCCGCGCAGCCCGGACTCCGTCGCCCGTCAGAGCCTAAACTTCCCACAAGCCACCTCTTCGCGCCACCGCCTTGGCCGTTGCTGATGGAATGTTTCTCTCCCTCCTGGAGGGCCGCCGTCCAATCAAAAAGAAAGAGGGGTGGGGGTGGCCCGAAGAGGCTGACCAATCGGAAGGACGTCTGAAGTGGGCCGGCGAGGCGATTGGCTAGGACGCGTCCCACGATTGGCTGACGCGAGAGCGAAGGGTGAGATAAAAAGGACGCCCCTGGGTCTGTTCCCCCTTTCTGGCCGCGCGCAGCTCAGGGAAGGTAAGGGGGGGAGCGGAAGAGTCTCTGGGGGGAGGAGGTGGAGGGCCTTTGTTTTGCATACATAGGCTCTTTTCAAGCTGCGGAGTCCTGTGATCAAAAATTCTACTTTCTGAGCTCCTGACCCTTAAAGTATTGAGCTTACTGCATTTTGGCTACTGCTTAAATCACTTTGCTCTGGAGCCCATTTTTCCTGAGCTAAGACAAAAATGTGAGAGCCAGAGGCTAAAAAACTGTGAGCTAGCTCACACTAATTCAGCTTAGAGGGAGCACTGCTCTGGAGCCCTCCTTCCTGACCCAAGAGAATGTGAGAGCCAGAGGCTAATATACTGTGAGCTTGCACACACTAATTCAGCTTAGAGGGAGCACTGATCTGGAGCCCTCCTTCCTGACCTAAGAGAATGTGAGAGCCAGAGGCTAATGAACTGTGAGCTAGCTCGCACTAACACAGCTTAGAGGGAACACTGCTCTGGAGCCCTCCTTCCTGAGCCATGGCAAAAATGTGTGAGCCAGAGGCTAAAAAACTGTGAGCTAGCTCACACTAACACAGCTTAGAGAGAACACTGCTCTCTAGCTCTCCTTCCTGAGCCATGGCAAAAATGTGTGAGCCAGAGGCTAAAAAACTGAGCTAGCTCACACTAATTCAGCTTAGAGGGAGCACTGCTCTGGACCCCTCCTTACAGAGGCTAATGAACTGTGAGCTAGCTCACACTAACACAGCTTAGAGGGAACACTGCTCTGGAGCCCTCCTTCCTGACCTAAGAGAATGTGAGAGCCAGAGGCTAATGAACTGTGAGCTAGCTCACACTAACACAGCTTAGAGGGAACACTGCTCTGGAGCCCTCCTTCCTGACCTAAGAGAATGTGAGAGCCAGAGGCTAATGAACTGTGAGCTAGCTCACACTAACACAGCTTAGAGGGAACACTGCTCTGGAGCCCTCCTTCCTGACCTAAGAGAATGTGAGCATACACTGTCAGCTAGCTCACACTAACTCAGCTTAGAGGGAACACTGCACATAAGGGGTCGTTTCTTGGACCGGCACGCAGCGGGTATGAGCGTTCCCTCCTCTGCGAGGGCAGATCTACGCATCCCCCCCCCATAGCTAGCAACCCAAAAGAGTCCAGTGCCAGGGGGTGGCCAAACTGCAGCTCTTTCGCAGATATGGTGCAGCTCCCAGCGGGGTGGCTGGGAAAGCAAAGGGAAGGCATGCCTCCCTGATTGGTTTTCCCTTCCTCAGCCAGTGTTCCTCTCCCTGGGTAGGGCTTGAGGTGGGGGAGGGGACCGCAGGGTTCTTTTTGTAGCAGGAACTCCTTTGCGCATTATGCGACACACCCCTAATGTAGTCAATCCTCCAAGAACTTACAATAGTCCCAGTAAGAAGAGCTCTGTAAGCTCTTGGAGGATTGGCTACATTAGGGGTGTGTCGCCTAATATGCGAAGGAATTCCTGCTACAAAAGAGCCCTAAGCAACTATTTGCTTTCTTTCCACTTTCCTTCCCCCATCTATTTGCTTTCTTGTTTCTCTCTCTCTCTCTCTCCACCTTTCATTCTGTTTTTCCACCTTTCTCTTTCTGCTCTCTCTTATTTATATTGTATTATTTATTTATTATTCAGATTTATACCCCGCCCTTCCAGCCTAGGCCTGCTTACATAAAATCAACAAAAACATTTAATAATATGATAAACATTTAAAACAATGTTAAAACAAATTGTATGTCCCTAATAACTGCTGACTCTTAGACAAATATCATTAGCAAACAAATAAAAAATGTACAGGTAAATATCTGTTTTTACCCCTTTTGTCTTTATTTTGGGCCATCTCATTTAATGTTAGTAAAATGCAAAGGTGCATCTTTTCCAATAAAAACGTGTGTGTAATATTTGTTCATGTCTTGTGGCTCTCAAATGTTTGACATTTATTCTATGTGGCTCTTACGTTAAGCAAGTTTGGCCACCCCTGGTTTAGTGGCACCTTAAGACCAAGGTTTTTTTTAATAAAATTTTATTGCTTATCTTACTACACACTACAAACTATAAACTACAGAACTAAAACTACAAAGAGAGTAACAAGGAACTTTGATAAGCTAATCAAATGCTTTAGGTATATGTCTACATGTTAAAGATTACATTCAGTTTTTTAAACATCTAATAAAAGTATACAAATAGGAAAAAAAACCATAAAGGCATTTTTGGTGTTATACCACATCTGGATAATATAGGTTAATTAAAGGTCAACACAGGCAATCTCAGATCTTCACTTAGTTTTCTTCTTAGCTTTACTTTTCTTTTTCTTTTGGCAGGGGAGATTTACTTTAAATGTTTTAGGAGCAGAAAACCAAGTTTTATTCAGGTACAAGCTCTCCCTCCTCTGCGAGGGAAGATCTGTGCGTTTCTCCCTCATAGATATTAGTATTTAGGGGAATTGTCCAATCAGTCTACATACCTGTTGTATGTATCAACTTTGTTATGTATATAAAATTATTTAATATTATTATATGAGTCATGGGTGTAACTGTTTTAGGCACACCTCTCTCTCAAGGGGTCAGGTTAATCATACTTTACTAGAGAAGGGAAGGCGTCTTTTCCAGATAGTAGATCTACTAGCCCTGTGAAACATGAAAAAAGCTGCAATCTTGCACAAGTCCCCTTTTCTAATGTCACACTGTTCATACATATAGACCATTTATCTGAACAGTTTTGCAATAATTTATTTTTCATGTAACTATAGTTACTATACAGGTACATTGGTGTGATAAGAATGTAACTTCCTTTTACAAAACAAACCAACCCCACTCCTATATAGCTAATTTGCCCTTCTATGAAAACTGGACTTTAAAAAGCTGAACCCAGGAGGCTTTGTATAGCAACTGTCCCAAAAATAAATAGCAATACTAACTTGATCTGTATTTTCATGTTTGTTGCAAGAGCAAAGGGAATCGAAAGTGTCTTTCGCCAAAGTGTAAAGCTGGCAGGTCCTTTGGGCTATGTTATGGGAAGAGTTCCAGTTCTGTAATACCATGGTTGTGCTTAAATATCACCAACGGATAAAAGAAAGTACTTCTTCACCCAAAGAGTGATTAACACTTGGAATTCACTGCCACAGGAAGTGGTGGCGGCTACAAGCAAGGACGGCTTCAAAAGGGAATTAGATAGGCATATGGAGCAGAGGTCCATCAGTGGCTATTAGCCACAAGGTATAGATAGGGACTCTGGGGCAAGTAATGCTCTGTCATCTTGATGCTTTGGGGGGTCAACAGTGGGATGGCTTCTAATGTCCTGGCCCCACTGGTGGACCTCCTGATGGCACTGGTATTTCTGGCCACTGTGTGATACAGAGTGTTGGACTGGACGGGCCTTTGGCCTGATCCAACATTGGCATCTCTTATGTTCTTATGTTCACCCTTTTGCAGGTTAGCAACATTTTAAAAGTCTACTACCCGCCATGAAAAGGAAGAGTATTCCGGGCTACTTTGTTGGGACCCCAGCAAAATGTGAAGTGATTGAAGATTGTCCCTCAACGTCAAGGGAATCATCAAGCAAACCAGATGGAATTCCAACTCCTGACAATAATCCAGGTATGGCGCTTGAAAATCCGTCGACCAGCGAGTCAAGACCTTGCGTTTCTGCCTCTGCAGTTAATGAGAGCGCCTGGCCCACTTGCTGGACTGTGGAGCAGAAGAACGAACATCTCCAAAAAAACGAGTGGATGTTTTTCAATGGTGGCAAGTTAGGTTGCTCAGTGTGTAAAAATGTTGGCGGCTTAGGGACAAAGAAGAGGACTGTGGGCACGCGTCTCTCTAAAGAGTGGATACATGGCGAGGTGTCATTTAACGGAAAATTGAGGCGACAGCAGCTAACATCTCTCAGGAAAAAGATTTTTGAACATAGAGAGAGTTTAGGCCATAAAGCTGCAGTCAAAATCACAGCCGAAGCCAGGGACGGAACCCTGGAAACAGGAGAGTCCCAAGAAAGAGAGATGGAAATCACCAAAAAAATATTCCTTACAGCATATAATGTGGCTAGAGAGAACCGGTCTTTTAATGATTTTGTGGCTGACATTGATTTGCAAGAATTAAGCGGTGCTGATGTTGGGAGGATTTTGCACTCGGCGACTTCTTGTGCACATATTGTGGGCCACATTGGCAGCGAGATGAGAATCGCACTGAGCAAGAAGATTACTGATTCCAAGAGTAAAATTTCATTGATACTTGATGAATCTACGACGGTGAGTCAGAAGCCCGTACTGATGGTGTATATTCGCACCTACATTGAAGAGGTGGACGTGGAGGACCCTATGAATTACTTCATTGGCTTGGTAGAGCTGGACGATGGGACAGCAGATGGAATATTCAAAAGTTTGATGTCTACCCTTGAGTCAGTAAGGCTCACTGAGGAAGTCTTAAAGGAGAGTTTGGTTTCGTTGACTTGTGACGGGGTTGTAGGGATAATAGGATCCTGTGGAGGAATTCCAAAACTCTTCAAAGACAGATTCCCTTCCATTATTGTATGGCCTTGTGCTAGCCACAGGCTGGAATCATCAGTCCACGATGTCGTGAAAGAGGTGTGGGGCATCAACAGATTTCACAGTTTTATCGACGAGTTATATGTCACGTACCATTCCTCTCCAGAAAATGCGAGGGAGCTCAGGTCATGTGCGGCCGCGTTAGAGATGGAGATTTTGAAAATCGGAAAGATCCTGTCCACGGGATGGGTGGCCTCTCGTTACAGAACCGTTATGGCTGTCTGGAAGGATTACGAAGCCCTCGTGCTTCATTTTGAAAAAGCTAAAGCTGAGAGTGGTCGAGATCGAAAGGAGAGGAACGCCTACGAAAGCCTTCAGGAAAACATCACGTCAGCAGAATTCGTTTTGGATCTCGGATTACTTTGTGACGCTTTGCAGGAGCTCTCGGAATTAAATGTAGCCTTGCAGGAGAGGCATATCGATCTGTACCGAGCCCATGGCAAGATCGAGAGTCTTGTTGAAATATGCGGGAAGAGAGGCACTGTTTCAGGTCCTTACTATCGAGAAGCACTTGAGGCAACAGCAAAACTGCAGTTTAAGGGTGTCCGGTTGCATACGAGAAATAGAATTCACGTCCCAGCAATCTACCCAGTGGCATTCTATGAGCAGCTTCAAAAATCTCTTCAAAAAAGACTGCTTTCGAGAGAAGACATTGACTTCTTAAGATGCGAAAGAGTTCTGGAGTCTAAGAATTGGCCAGCAAGCTCCAGTGACCGCATTCTCTATGGGGAAGCAGAAATAAGCTCATTGGCGAGAAGGTTTCAGCTCAGTGAGAGAGAAGCCATCCGGGCCTTCCGAGAGCATCTAAAATACAGAGAAGAAATGCCCAAGGAACTGTCTCTGATCCGCCGCATTCTCAATACAGTTGCCATTTCCTCCAGTGAGTGTGAAAGGGGCCTTTCCCAGATGAACCTGATTGTCACTCCCGAAAGGGCCTCCTTGAAAGTCAAAACCATCACATCCTTATTGTTCATAAGACTTGTTGGACCTCCTCTAAGCGTCTTCGATCCAACAAAGTTTGTGAAGACGTGGTTGCTTCAAGGTCGCCGGTCGGCTGTGGACACCCAAAGCAAGGCCCGAAAAAAGCCAGAGGATTCTGGCGACAGGATTCAACTTTGGAAAGCCCTATACGGCTGAGGTGAGTTGTTCTCTCTGTGCCCTCTGTTCTAGAGCAGAATATGCTGTCTTTCCCTTTTTGTAACGATTGTCGGATCTCCTTTAATGGACTGTGGGACCTTCTTTAACAGAGCTCTGCATGTTAAAGAGTGTGCAGGGATGTGGCTGCTCCGAGTCGATTGTTCGTTGCTGGATGCCCAAGACCCCGAGGATGATGGAGGAAGTTGGTGACATCTCCAAAGCCCGGCACCTCCAGCTCCTTCAAAGTTGAGTAAAAGTTTGAAGTCAAAATTCACGATGTGCGCTGAGTGATGTTATGTTTTTATTTTATGTTTAAATTTTATTTTATTTATTTTTTAAGTATTATTATTATTATAATTATGATTTATTAAATTTATATCCCGTCCTCCCCGCCGTGGCGGGCTCAGGGCAGCTAACAAACATATATATGAATGCATACATTTAAAACTCCAGAAATATGCTGTCACGGCTCGGGCGGGGTGTCACCCGACGCTGCCACCACTCTGGTTCCAGGCTCCTCCGAGAAGGCCCAGAACACCCTCCCTGGCCTTTAGACCTCCTTTTTAGCCTAAATGAGCGTGAGGACAAGGCAGAGTGAACAATGAAAACAGTTTATTATATAGGAGGTCAAACAGAAAAGGTGCAGAATAATAACAGTAAGTGGGTGAAAAGAAAAGCAATCAAATGCCCTAACACGTCTAAATATATACTGTCCCTAGCTCACTATCTCAAGTGGCTTTAGACTAGCTTTAGAGAGCCAGTTTGGTGTCGTGGTTAAGTGCGTGGACTCTAATCTGGGAGAACCGGGTTTGATTCCCCACTCCTCCACTTGCACTTGGCTGGATGGCCTTGGGCAAGCTGTAGTTCTGATAAGAGCTGTGCTTGAAAAAGAGCAGTTTCTGTCTGAGCTCTCTCAGCCCCCCCACCTCACAGGGTGTCTGTTGTGGGGAGGGGAAGGCGATTGTAAGCCGCTCTGAGTGAAGGGCGGGGTATAAATCCAAGCTCTTCTTTTACTTCTACTTACAAGGGTTTTTTAAAAAGAAAAATGGAATAGATCTGTGGGTGCTTTTGTGGTCTTGTTAAAGCTAAATGGAAGCTGGCAAAATAACAAGAATTGATTTTCACAACCGGTGGCTTGGGTGGCAGGTTTGCAGAGCTGGTTCATGGGCTGAGGGTTGTGTTTCCCATCCTCCCTACCCACCCACCCCCCAGTTTCTCCGAACATTAATCGATCATTCTCTTCTCTCGCCCCTTCTCTCACAGGCGGGTCTGTCGCTTCCGGACAGCACGAGCTCAGCTGAGAGGTGAGTCTGAGATGTGAACTCTGTACAGGAAGGACAAGAACTTGCCCAGGCCTGCGTGACTCCAAACTCCCGCCAATGATGAGCTCCTTAAAAATTTCTGACACCTCGTATGAGAACTGTGCAGCTCACAGTTACTGATTTCCTCATGTCAGCTGAGGCTTGGGAGTTGGTCCGAGAGGCCGTTGCATCCAGGGCCCCCCGGTATGAAATGATTGGCCCTCTCGAGTCCCGGCCTCCTTAAGAAACTCAGATAAGTGAACCATCGGCTGTCGCTTTCTCTTTCCAGGAAATGGCTCTAACGAGGCGCAAGAACAGCTTTTGCCAAGATGGAGAAATCTACGATGCCCTGATCGGGCTTGACAGAGTGATCTGGTAGGTTGCCTTTAAGCGTCTGTGCTAGGGTTGAACGGCTGCCGTGGCGGAAAGACAGTCCCTTTGTAGCAAAACAGTATACCCAATGTGGCGTGTCCTTCCTGTCGATGGGTGGGGCCCTTTGCAGGCGGGAGGTCTTGGATTCAGTCCCTCCCACATCTCCCGTTGAAAAGGATCAGGCAGCAAGAGATAGGCGTGTCCTCCTCTAGGGACCCTGGTGAACCACTGCCAGAGTAGAGGTTTACGCACCTTGACGGATCAATGCACTTGGCGGTGGTAAAGAAGCAAGGCCCTTCATGCTAGAATCTATTACTGTTTCCTTGGCTATGCAGGAGAAGAAAACCCGGCAGTGGGGAAATTATTTTTCCGTCTCTCTATATAAGACGGAATGATTGACCTCGGCCGGGTTGGGTTGTTTTGTATGTGAGGCAGAGATTAGTGGTTAGTATATATTACTTTTGGAGGCCTGTTGATAGCCAACAGAGGTGAAGTTACTAATGATGATGTCTTTCCCGTTACGAAAGAAGAGCCCTGCTGGATCAGACCAGTGAGGGTCCATCTAGTTGAGCATCCTGTCCTACACAGTGGCCACCCAGTTCTTCTGGAGGGCCAACGACAGGGTGCTGAGGCTTTCGTAAGAACATAAGAGCCCTGCTGGATCAGACCAGCGAGGGTCCATCCAGTCCAGCATCCAGTCTCTCACAGTGGCCAACCAGTTCCTCTGGAGGTCCAACAACAGGGCAGAGAGGCTGAGGTCTTCCTCAGGTGTTGCCTCCTAGCTCTGGGATTCAGGGCTTGACTAGCTCTGAGTGTGGAGGCTCCCCTCAGTCACCAAGGCTAGTAGCCACTGATAGACTTCTCCACCATGAATCTATCTCATTCCCTTTTAAAGCTGTCTATTCCTGTGGCCCTCCCTACATCCTTGGGAGCGAATTCCACATTTTAGCCACTTTCCATGTAAAGAAGTCTTTCCTTTTGTCCTTCATGAACCTACTGCCCATGAGCTTCACTGGATGTCCTCGCGTTCTAGTCTTTTGAGAGGGGGAGAAAGAGTTCTCTTTGCCAGCTCTCTCCAACCTAGGGCATAATTGCAGAAACCCGACTTTGTTCTAGCTTGACGTGAAGCAGCGCTGACGATGTCGAAGGCAGAAGCCGCTGTGCCCCTGGCGAGGTTCCTTCATCAAGCTGACACCTATGGAGGCGTTTGAGGAAGACACGACCGAAAGCGAATAGAAGCCACCAGCGTGTCTTGGGGGTTAGTGTTTCCCTTTGTTTCTCTACATTATTTATAATCTGTCTTTTTCCCTGAAACTTGAGGCAAATTACCCCACGTAAGTCGACACGGTCGGCAGGAGAGACGCCCAGTAAACAGCGTAAGAGGATTTGAATGGTAGACATTCGACCAACTCATTAAATGATGCAGGAGTTAGCATAGTAGGAGTGTACTAGGCAGTACCCGATAGTGTAGTCGGCAGTTCCTATCCCTTTACCAAAGCATCTTTCCGAACCATTTCACTAAAGTACAGCCCTGTTACCTGTGTGAGGGAAAAAACCTCTTTTGAATAATTCAGTTTGGCATGCTTTGCAGGAGGGGGTGGAGAACACCTTATTAAAAACACGCTGAACAGAGAATGTTCTAATGCTGGCGTAAGCAGAGTTATTCTTTTGAAGTCCGCTGGCTTTGGCCAACTTGGGTGGGGCTCTGTTCAGGTTGGACTTGTTAGGCGTTCATGCCAGCCCGTCTACCTTCACCACGAAGAAGAGAATTGTTATACTGCACCGTGCAACAAAACCAGAAGGGTGTGTGAAGATTGTGAGCCGATCTGTGGTCTGTTTCTTCCAAGCTAAAGTGCGTATCATAGTGCAGCCCTTGGCACGAGAGCCATTTACTTAAGGGAAAACAGGCGCTTGCTTAAATCAAAAACCTCCAAAGAAAGTTTAGAAAACGAATTGAGGGCCAAAAGTTCAAAACATAAGTAAGTGTACAAAAGAGTGTTTATTACAAAGACATAAAAACCTAGTAAACACCAAATAAAGCCTCATAAAACGTACAAAGTGACAAATACACACAAAAGAGAACAGGCTCACAAGAGCCTTTGGCCCTCAATTAGTTTTCTAAACTTCCTTTGGAGGTTTGGGGGGCTTACTTAAATAGCACAAATAATATTTTTCTAAAAGGTCACGCTGGGGTGGCGTAGGAGAGCTGACGGAACAGCCGTAAAATAAAACCAAGTCAGAATATTTTGTGAAGTACAGAGACAAAAACACCAGTCAGTTTGCCTATCCAGAAACGGGGAAAACTGCATCACAGAGGTCCCAGATACACACAATCTGCTAGGAGAAACGCCATTAGAAATGGCCCACATATAAACTGCATTTAACAAATATAAAGTTGGTGGTGTTCTATGATTCGCTCTTTACGCTATGAACCTTGTGGTCGGTAGAAATCGTTGAAATCGGGTTCCACCTACACGGCCAGCAAGCTGAAGAAGTTGGAGAAAATGCCTCTTTTTTAAGTATCTGGAACGGGCGTCTTTGCGAAGGCTGTTTGGAAAATGTTTTGACTATGTGGACTCCTGCCGTCAAGTTGAACTGATTATGTGGACTTTACGTCTTGTCTCTTAAGGAGGAAACATTGTATTTTAGGCCTTATTAGAGTTATAGTATGCACTTCATTTTGTTGTTGCGACTCCACCAACTTTATATTTGTTAAATACAGTTTATATTTTGGCCATTTCTGATGGTGTTTTCTCCTAGCGGATTGTGTGTACCTGAGTCAGTTTGTCTAGGCAGAAACAAAACCAACCAACCCCAGTTTGGTGTAGTGGTTAAGTGTGTGGACTCTAATCTGGGAGAACCGGGTTTGATTCCCCACTCCTCCACTTGCAGCTGCTGGATGACCTTGGGCAAGCCATAGTTCTGGTCAGAGCTGTTCTCTCAAGGGCAGTTCTTGAAGGAGCTCTCTCAGCCCCACCTACCTCACAGGGTGTCTGTTGTGGGGAGGGGAAGGGAAAGGAGATTGTAAGCTGCTCTGAGACTCTGAATGAAGGGCGGGGTGTAAATCCAATCTCTTTTTCTCTCGTCAGGTGTGTGAAGGGAAGTGGAGGCCGAAATACAGTCTCTCCCCCACAAAAATGCTGG